ATAATGTGGTTTCCGCTCACTGCTGTCTTGCTCATTACGTCCCAGTCTCTTACCGTGTATTATAACTTACCCTTCAAATTAAGCTTGCAGAGCAAAGGCCTACCAGAGTTGTAACCGAACAATAGGCGGTATTTTTATCACTAGTTTTCCCTTACTTGCATTTCCCGTGTTCTTGACCAAATGGCTGTTATTAATTATTTGCTGATTTTTAACTCTGGGGGCCGCAGCCTATACCGGAAACACTGCTGATGCTCATTTTGTCTCTTGATCAAGTAGTATATTCAATACGATTACCCTGACGCATCGTTCTTTAAGCCCATAATAAGAGCAGTCTTCTGTCCAGATCGCCCCTACTAGTCCTTGCTTAGAACATTCGGCGATGGAAGAGTCCGTCATAATTATCGTTAATGCATGTTGGACTTGTGTCACCGTCTTACGCGGTCCAATTCTATCAGTAAGGTGTTTGATGCTTTTAACACCATTAAAATCAGTTATAATAAATCAAATCCGCTATGTTCATGAGCTTAAGAGTTTTAAAGTAACTAGACTTTCAATGTTTACCACCTAACTTATTGAGTCAAAACTAATGACGGTACAACCACATTTTCTTACATTCATATATTTTCCATATTAAGCAACTTCAGGTATGGGCAAAAGACGAAGTGGCTTTCACCGGGAGTCGTTTTTCGGAGGTTCGACGTTTCGAGTAGTGATTTAACTTTCCATTTTCATAGACCGGACAGTCTTGCATGCATCTCATTATATGCCGCATGCTTCTAATGTGTCACCTGCTAATACTGACTATGAGTTTAAATTTTTTCATCGTTTTGCTCTGACCCGTGTTGCCCCGCTCTCGTTAACCGCAGTGGCAGTTCGTGATCGCAACTGCGATCTAAACGGCATGGATTGGTATTTCCGGTTTTGGATCCAACTTACGCTCAGCCAAGTGGTCCGCGTGCATTCGCATTTACGGCTATAGTCCGTTTTCTCGAACGTTATTACACACTCTAGTTGAAGTGAACACGGTGTACATTAACCGGCTTCTCCTGCTTGGCCTAGGTCGCACTACTTGTCGGTGGATTGTTGAGTTAATCTTGTAAGAATCTCCTATTCCGAATGGCGTGAGGGATCGGGCAACTGCTGAGAAATTCCCTTCATCTACTGGATGTTGCTCCAAGTTTTCTGCTGACTGCACTCCTCATTCTTCTTTGTGACATTTGACATGAAGCAGATTCATCTCTTCCCGCTTGGTCGCTGGTGTGCGTAGGCAGTTTTTTCGTTCCACAGTTTGGTTGCTACTGAAACTGAATTTGCAGCGCGTTCGTCATTTTGTTGTGCTCTCGTCACCAGCTTGCTGTCTTGTTACCGGTAAACGGGAATATGAAGATCGGAATTTCGTCTTACACTTCTTCCATCGTGAACGGTAGATCGTGGAGGTTGGTGTTTAGTCGTCGTTGCTAGTGCCTAATCCTGTCCTGGTGGATGGTGACGGTGTCATTAACGGTTTGCGCTGAAAAGGTTAATTCGTGCGCCAAACAGCCACCTCTCCAGTTGTTATAGGACCAACTCAGCAATGAATCCTGAGATCGGTTAACTGATTGGAGTGCTCTCAATATGCTCGTATATGTTCTCTTCCTTACAGAAAAACGTCTCAAGGCAGTTCCCCCAGTCTATAAGATCCTGAGCTGCGAGCCGACCATCATCTTTATTGTGTATGGCGTAGGTCACTAATTGTTTCAATCCTGAGGGTCTATGGTATGAATGTGAAAAATGAGGTGATATTGAATGATGCCATCCGTTTATTCGATCCGATGGTACTCGCCTTTGTCGCGTTCTGGTGAGTTCATAGTTGTTTTTAAGTCCGTAGTTACGAACTTCGGCTTCTTCACTAACCAATTTGTAAGCCTGTATGTGGGTGCAATGCGACGACTGGCCGAAGGAAACCTCTGGTTTTCGTACTTTAGGGGATGCTGTTGAATCGCGCCACGTGGGTTTTGCCATATGCCATTCTTCTTTAGTCGAACTAGTGTTCTGTTAGTCTTCGTCAGTAATGACTGTCCAGCCGACTTCGCTGGATGTAGCACTCATGATCATTGAAAGCGTTAGGGGTTCCAATAAACGGTGTCATGCCACCCGAGAATCACTGCCGTTAGATATAACTACTTCATTTTCAGTTCCCTTTTCTCATCGAGTACTTTTCTACTTTAGGGCCAAATATATGAAGGTGCCCTTCCAAGCGATTCACGTGAGTTGGGCCCACGCCTTGCCTGTTTACTGCGACGTACCAGATCTGCACATTCTGCGGACCTTCTTTTCTTCGAACAAAACTTATGCTTACGCCGTCCGAAGAGAAACCTGCTGTCGAGCCTCCGTAGCCTTTCTCGAACAGGTGTCAGACAAAAATCCACCTTCATACATTGACAAGTTGGCTTTAGCTTGCCAAAGTGGACTGTATATGGTGAGTCCCCTGGGCCTGTTCCCGAGTCGCCAGATGTGGGTGAACCGGACCAAGACGCCTTACTACCCATGTCCATATAGTGAGATTGATTACACTCAGCTCGTCGAATATTACTCTGACGAGTCATATGGCGCACTGCAGCCCCTTGGACCTAGTCAGTCTCAGAATACTGCCGGTAAGGAAGTTAAACCACTCGGCAGTAACAACGCAAACCGTGGTGCTAACAATGCTAACAGAGGTCGAGGTTTCCGCAGATTCGCTGGACAAACGCGCCGCTTTCGTCCCCCCAGCAACACCAACCAAAGCACTAATCAGCCAGGCGAGCCAGCAGGAAAAGCTGTTCGCAGCAGTTCAGAAAATAAACCGAAGCAGCATCAACATCAGACTGAAGCCAAACCCTCTGGCAACGGAGGACGCAAGACTTACTCCCAAAAGCGCCCTAGCCAACCTAATAGAACTGTACCCACAACATCCGCACCATCGTCCTCAACACAGAAGGCTTGTGACTCCACCGAGAAGCCCCAAGAACAGGCGCTTGTTTCGTAGTGACTTCAGTGTTCGTGCAAATAGAGTTTATATACCAAACACCCTCATGCTTTTCAGCTGTAAGGCCTATCTTCAGCCTTCTATGTGATTCTGGGCACCGTCACGAGTCCCCACTAATTGCATGATACCTTCGATCCACAATTAACTGTCTGCTTGGGGTATTCTTGTTTATGTAAATTCTTGCCGGAAGGCAGTTTCTGTAACATACTTATATCTGGTACGTTCAAATGATATGTGGTGTGTGCTTTTTTCCTTCTTGCAACACAAGCTACTCCTGTTCTGTCCTACTTTGTCTCCCGAGTCTACCACAGCCGTTATGCGCACCCGTCAAAGCTTTCCCTTTCACACACCCAAGCATGCAACTGTTAACAATTTTTCACAGCTAACATGACTGTCATGTTTTGTTTAATTATGCCTTTTCAGTCGAGTTTGGGCATCATTTTTGAGTATCAGTAAATGAATAATTATCTTTTCTGCTTGTGATTACTGGGGTGTTTTAAGAGATATCTAAGGGATTCCTACTTTAAAGCGTTCAGACGTCGCCTTGTCTGTATTCGTGAGTACTGCGCTTTTCTGTGTGGCAGAGTTACCGATTTTCGGAATTATCTGTTTTTATACACTTTGTTTGGTCTCCCTGCCTCTTGGGAAGTTCATTGTTGGTATTCGTGAAATCA